GATTCTAATACGATTGAGCACACCAATTGACAAGCATAATTTATAGATTCCAGAAATCAAGACCACAGTACCTGTCCAAAAAATGTATGTCATTTAACTCGTCTTAAATAAGGATTCACGTAATACTGAATACCTACTTCTCAATTTCCGAAATTCCCAGGTCAGACATTGACAGCAATGTCAAGTGACTATTAAAAAGTACTTGATCAAAAAAGATGAACTTATTTGTTCATACAACTAATAAACTGCTGGAGAAACAATTTCCTCGTTCTAGCGTTTTTCCTTTTGTTATATAACGTTATGCATGCATAATGTGTATTCGTCCCATTTTCTTGCACACTCTCGGAGAATGGTTTAACGTTAGCGTATGAAATATAAGCCTCTGTTGTTTAATTAGATAGCCATCGTAAGTGGATGAGTGTTCGAAAAAGGATATGAATTGGTGAGAAAACGGAGAATGGAGAAAACAGTGAACAGGCTGTCCTTGTTGACTTTTCATTTTATTACGCAGCATTATAAACTCTTTTTTTTTTGTTTCCGCATTTTTCTTCTTAAAAGCTTTCATGAACAGGATTTGAAATATTAAGCCCAATTTGGTTTTGTTTGTTCTCTCGTTGTAGAATTCGACTGTTTTTATTCAATCTTACGTGGAGTGTTGTATCAAATTCCTATTGGCAAAATTAAACAACTGATCGCATTTTTCCGTTTTCTGCCATGGCTCGATAAAGCAAATCGATAAAAATGTAACTGTTTTTTTTCACGGGAATATCCCTTGTGTCAAAAGTTTCTGGTAACCAAGACAGTATCCTCATCGCCATGGTGATGTTTCTTTTTTAAACACTTTCTCAATATTTGATCTTATTTGTACATCTCAGATCACCTCTATTGAATAACATTGAACGTTTTCAGCGGACGTCGTTGCGCATCGAGGTTGTTGATTGACTGGCTGGATTCAGCTGCTATTGAAATTTATAAAAATAAAGGGAACGGGTTTGTTGTACCGAGAATATACACATGACGTCTTTGCATCATTTCAGTCAACTCATCCAAAACGGCAACAAATGTTGGGAAAGTTTCGCCATAGCATTAAACCCCGTGGTAATAATTTAGTCGCTAAAAGTGGTATTGATGTGCTGCTGTGATCCAAAGTGTACTAATGTTTACATTTACTGTGGTTATTTGGGGTGGGATCCTAGACCGGTATCCCAGGGGAGCTACTTGAAGGTACATTTTAATGTCCTCAAAGGGTAGAGCGCCACAGTCGTCATGCAGCGCGCGTTGGAATAATGCATGTTATGTGCGTTGTAGGCGGTGCATGGAACCCATACCGAACGCGTCGATGCGACGACTGTGGCTTTTTATTAATGGTAATACAGACGGGCTTTTTCACCAATACGTACACGTATTGGGCTCTAAAGAAACAATTGTATATTTTTAAATCAAGATATTACTCCGGTTAATTTTATTTACCTTATATATTCACAAAGGCATGTGTATAGGCGCATACACTTTAGCAAACCTAATTTAAAAAAAAAATACGAGTTCTTCTGTGATTCAAATATCTAACCCCGTGACGAGAGATCTCCTTCCTGGAAGTCTGTTTTGTTGAGCAGAGATCTGAAAGCTTGATTATAACTGGTTGAAGCTACTTTATTGCCCCCCTAATACATTCAAGAAGGCAGTTACCCCCTACGAGGTAAAAGGCATTACCCTAGGCCAAATGCCTCCAGACACGAGTCACTACGCCCACTGCATGCTGGGAACGAAATAAAGGGACCGCTCTTGATTATGGAAGGGTGCAACTGCTCTTTATCGCACCTTAGCGCATCTGATAGTTTTCTCGTTTACAGCTATCCTGACTTTAATAGGCATAAAAGTGCTGTCATTTTTACTTAAATTACACCATATTCACTGGTTGTTTTACCACTTCTCTTTGATAAAAACACATTACCTGCCCTCTTCCTCCTTCCTTAACATTTAAACTGTACTTTTATCGCTGTCTACTGCGAGCAACGTATCCGTAAATTATCCCCCCCCCCCACACCATTGTGAGTTTGCGTTTCCAGGCAGTGTAGTTGTTTTGTGATGATAAATTTAAATATCAAAGTCTGATAACTGTTCGAAGTCAGTGTTGCCAATACGTTTTTTGTGAGTCCTTCTTTGGTATTTTACTCGTATCTGTCATTTTTTTGCGAATGAGAAACAAGAAGAGGGCGTCTCGGTCATAGCAACTGCAAGTCGTCCAGCCCGGAGCCAGCCGCTCGTTCGTTCGTTTGTTGTAAACGATAAATTCAACCTCGTGTCAAACTGAGGCAGGAGTGTTGATGTGAACTTTACATGCAAGCTGATTGCCCTCAAAATAGAGTCTCTTTATTCCTATAATTTAGTCGTAGATAATTAGTAGTATATGCTCGTTCTTTGTTCCCTTGTCCGATCGAATTGGCGAACCGTAAAGACGTGCCAATGACTCGAACTGTCGCTACAAGCTGAGTCCAGGAAGAGCGCCACTTTTGCAAGTAGTTATATCGAGCAGAGACCGTGGATGATTTCTCTTTATATACGTCGAAGTAGTCAAATGTCTGCTTCGTGTGTTCTGTAATGATACATCGCACTACTTTACTGGCGATATTGGTGACTAAATTTACGCTCAATTCCCTTGCCTTTGTTGATGTAATTGGCATTCGTCTTTTTTCGTCTTTCTACACACTCTGACTTCATTTTCCGTCGGTCTAGTTACTGTCGACACATCAACCGTCACGCTCGACGTTTTTATGATTGGGGTGTTTTTTCTCGATTAAACTGGCGGTTTCATCAGTAAGTTTTGTTGAAACTGCAAACATTTGCATTATAACCAGTCCCACGACTATTACTCCGTTGAAAACAGCGTGTCGCCACAGTTTACGTAAATAAATACAGTATGTATACAAATAAATAAATAAATAAACAAATAAATAAATAAAGAAATAAATAAACCCGTCCACCTGAGATATGACGGCTAAATACCTTTTTTCTGTCACAAATATTAAATTGCGAATAGGGTTCAGTGTGAGCTAAAATCTCTACCAGTCTATTTGGAACAATTCCAGTTCAGCATGTTTCGCTCATTGTCGTTCATTGTTGAAACGCTTCACCAACAATATCAAAGCAAAAAAAAACGAACTAAAATCCGGTAAATATTGTTAGTAAATAACATTATGGATAAACCGCAAAAATAGTCGATCCAGTTTTTGAGTTAGTTTTACATATATTTAACTGTAAAGTCTAACAAAGATTGCGAAATAGACAGTCGGCGGGAACTTAGATTGTCAAAGAGCAATGTGCGTCCTAGCAATCGACACTTTTACACGCTATTTCACACTATACTTCGCAGAATCTCTTTATCAGTGATTCCCTCCCGTTTGATTCCCGATCCGCCACATTCTTGAGAACTCTCCCGAGGAATTGTTTAGACGGGTGATATCATTACAAAGTGTCGGCAAACTTGTTATAAATCTCCTTTTACCAGTGACTAAGTATTTCTGTTAAGTTTAGACTGTTTTCGTTTGTAGCGTTGACTTGTGAGTTACATACGTGCGCGTGGTTGTTGAAGTGTGTTAGCGATAGCGACGCAACGGGAACGAGATACAGCCTGTCCTTACCAACCACGGTGCGCCGAACCTTGAATACTGAACACCCCCCCCCCCCAGCTACTTGCACGCACCCGCTTAATGATGTACGTTTTAATTTCATTATCTACGTTATCGTTCTGAACAGAATGGGTTATTTAAGTTCATTGATAGGACAGATTTTTGCAGTAAATACGGGGCGAATTACAATAAAGGATACGATTTATTTGAATTACAAGTTCACGGGGAAATGAAAATATCTCTGGTACGTGAGTGTTCTTTCACGAGGGACCGGTAGTCCGAACTTCGAGGGAAATCATAAAAATGGTGAGAGGTTTCAGGAAACGCATTTTGAGAAAATTCTATTATCATGTGCTATGTTAGATATTAAACCTGAACAAATTAATTTTTTTGTGATAATCGTTTACAGTCAAATCCGCGTACAATCTGGAACAAAGTATTGAACAATACCAGTAGATGGTAAGCCTATTACTGTCCTCTCTTATCCCACAGGACGTCGGTACTAATTTCATACGAATGACACGTTTTAAAACATAGATATTCAGCTTCGGGTTAAATTTTACAATGAGTTTTAAATATTTAAAAAACATTTTTTCTTTTAATTTTTGCCTGTGGTAAATTCTGAAGAGTAACTGGCGTAGTCGTTGGTCAACAAATGGCTTACAATCTTGACCCTTGACCCCTTGGGTAAACTTTCAACGCTGCAGAAATTTATCGCCTTTTCAGCTGTGAGCTCGCACGGGCCATTACAAAACATATGTACTCTGCGTAACTGGTGCATATAGTCGGGACACACCGGCTGTATACGCCATAGCTTACTTTGTCGGGGGAAGGAGAACTGTCAGATAAAATTCGGAAAAAATTGCTTCGACTTTCATTCGCGTAGTGATGAAATGTCCCGCCCCTTTACAAATCTGTGCCCTCGGTTCAGGCGGAGATATGGTTTCCCATTGCACCGCATCACCGCCATACTATGTATCGTGTCACTAATCAAATAGCTCGTCTGTGTTCATCTCCATATACAACAACTCAAAAACAATTACTTCAGCATAGCATCTTAAACACTTCAAACGCATAAATTATTAGTTTAAATTTTTCAACATTTATTTGAGGCCGTCCTTCAAAAAAACATTACGCGAACAGCGGAGCGTTATCTGTAAAGTGTTTAATGTGATTCGGCTTGTAAGTGCTTATTCATTCATGGCCCCGTTGTAATACATAACACAGTATATAGCGGTAAACTTTAACGTTCCATCTGTATCTACCCGGCTCGCCACTCATTGTAAACACTGGGATTTTTAGCAAATAACTCAACTAGTACATGCAACACTTGCTTGATTTGAGCCCGGGTTCTCTAAACACCAACCCCAAAAACTGGACCGACAAATTCAATATTTTGGCAGGTGTCGGTGTTTTCTCGGCGTGTGTGTATTAAACTTTAAACTCTGAGCACACACCGTGGCAGTCTATCGGTCTACCTACACTGGTCGATGCAACGTGCGACTATTAGCGTACAGCTAGACAGATATCTTTGCTGAGATTTTTTGGAACCATACCGAGTCAAGCTGTGCCACCCATATGCCGTACTGTCAGGTACAGTGACATTTTTTTTTTGCTCATCTTTTTTTAAAAAACTTTTGACATTAATTTTCTATTTTTTTTCCAAATCAGGTTTTTCTGACTTAATTTCCCAGGAATTATGTATTTGAATATCAGAAACTTTCTTCCTAATGCTGTTAGCGTGTCATTTTTTTTAATAATCACCGTTATTTTTTTAGGATATAACGACACTGACTACGGTGCGAGATATTTCCAGTGTTTCGTCGCATTGTGATATGGCATCATTAAAACTAGAAGACGTAACAAACACAACGATACATCCTGACTTCATACAAACAACAGTTAACACTGGTAAGTATCGCTATCATACAATTATTGATTTACTTAATTTTTTTGGATGTAGGATTTCCCCCTTTTCACCACTATTGCCAAATTTCATCGCTCCCGGTGGGCATGGACACATCGCAGTCGGCGTCGCTGCTCGAGCTCCCATCTCTGCTACCTGTCAGAATGAACGCAACGGGCCGCAACTTATCTCAACATTGGACGCTGCAATACTAAACCTGGTCATGTTATGGTTATTATTCAGCTTTATTTATACACCAAGAACAGCCTTTCTTTGAGCTAGTTGTTTTCTTTTCCTAATCGGTGGTTGTTTTAAGAACCTTGGATTTTTTAGTCACGTCGTGTAGATCGTCTGCCCTTGAATGCCCGCGCGTTGTCGTCCGAAAACATTTGAAGTCTAAATATCCAAATCCACTTTGCCGATAAAAATGAACGAACAAAAATACTCGTATCGATAATTTGGATACCATTACAATTTTTTTTTAACTTTGAATAAAATGGAAGTTTGAAATTATCCGATTGACATCTAAGGTTATGCCTATGCCGTGTTTTCCTAGGCGTCTTCGCCGTACTGTGTGGGTAACTTGTTAATTTTCAACTCACTAGGCTGCCGTTACCTGTTCAGTTTACGAGTTTGACTTGAAATAACCACCCGAACAATTTATTTATATTTCATAATTTATTCATCTAAATTACATAAAGCGTATTTTTAAAATACTGAATTGTCCTTGGGTGTTTTTCGTTTTCAGGCGACAACGGTTTAAAAAAGAACGGCAAATGCTGCAAGGCGCTTTGCGCCGGTTGTCAACAACCTATCGAGGACCGCTTTCTGATGCGAGTCATGGAAAACTCGTGGCACGAACAATGTTTGCAATGCAGCGTGTGCCAATCGCCGCTGTCACGATCATGTTATTTTAAAGACAGAAAACTGTACTGCAAGGGAGACTACGAAAAGTAGGTTTTGCTATTCCTTATTTTAATGTTTTACCCCCCCCCCCCCCTCCCGGAAAAAAGTGAATTGTCGCAATTGGTGTCATGTGGGAGTAAACCTATTATCGGGTACCGTTGTTTCTACTGTATGGAGGTGTGAAGTTTAGAGTCAATCGTAAAATAACAAACTTAGTAGCACTGTTAAAATTTACAACCGGGGTGAGAAAAACTTTCTATTGTTTTTATTGTCTCTCCAAATATGTCCAATAAAAGTAGCACACAGACAGCTCGGTCACTGATACCCCCTCCCCCTTTCCCATCTCTTACCGTGTCACCTTCAACGTTTACTGTAAGCTTATCAAGTTATAAAAACTCACCTCAGCTACCGGTTCTCTCTGGAGAACAATTAAACTCAGTTTAATCATCTTCTAATGTAACTTCACCATTTTTAAAATTGATGTACATTTAATCTTCATTATAATCCAAATGTGTTGCCCAATATGATGGACAATTGATTAATGTTTGTTTTTCTTGTCATCAGAAACTATTGCTAATAATTTCACATTTTTCGAGGCCAGTTTCTTTAATTGTATAATTATTAACTATTTATTGTTAACATATTCTTATTAAATATCTGAATTACCACAAGTAATTGATTGAATTAGTTGTATCACGTAGGGTGAGATATGTTAGTAGTTTGTTTGTATACCGTCCCTGTTGAATTCAAAGAACATATGTCGTTTTCTTTACACCGAGCAACCATGATTATTCCACTACTGGTTTAAAACATGGCTCCCTAATCTCAGAAAATATTTTCATTTTCAATTTTTACTTCAACTGAGATTTAGCTATGAAACCATGTTGTAAACGTGTATTTATATCGTAATATAAACTCTACCATGGCAGTGTTTAAGTAGTCTAATGCAGTGACCAGTATCTATTCAGTCTTTGATGTTTGTTTAGTTGTACTCTTTGAAGAACAAAGGTGTTTCTTACCATTCAAGGAAAAGAAGTCTTTGCAGACCTCGTCACCATCAGATCCATTGAGAAATCCCACTTGTCTTTGTGATCGCAAAAACACAGATTAAATCGGGGAACAAAAACTGTTTTGGTTAGGCCTGAATCTGTTCACAATGCAGAATTAAAGCTAGCCGACTAAGTAGTTAACTAGCTATCATAGGTTTGCAAATGCTTGCTGATATTGTTACAATGTACCATAGCTAATTAATAAATGTAACAAAAAACACATATACTACAGTGTTTGTGTGATTGCCATACAAATAACACCACCCTGCTAATTGACTGAGTAATAAATTAAAATCCTTAATTACTTTGTTAACTGATATTTAATTGAAAATTGCTCACACATCGATATATTTTCGAATTTGCCGTGATGTTTTAGGTGAGCAGTTCAGTTGCTTTTTTTTCTTTCTTTGATTTTTTTTTCACCTTTGACTGGTTACATTCACATCATGGAGGTGTGTTAAGAGCAGTAAATTTCTGTCAGAAGGATTTCTTTATGTCCTTTTCGTCTTTTGTGCTGACTTTGCAACGATTCTTACTGACCAGTGGACCAGAAAGGATAGAACAAAAACCAAATTTGTCTTAAGTGCATTCTATGATATTGTTATGTCGTGCCCGCCACTGTCTAAGACTCGCAGTACTGAGCCACTCTATTCACTATACTAACGACCAATTCAGGATTTTAAAAAAAATAGGGAAGGGGGTGGGGGAAGAGATTGATGGTGACTGATAATCGGGTGAAAATCTGGACTTAAAAAAACTAGGGCTTGTCGGTGTTCTTTTTATCCGTAGAAGGATTGTTGTATAGTGTGTGTATGTGATGTATATCGGACTAGATCAGTGCTTTGCGCCGCTCTAAAGTTATGTTGGGGGTTTTAAACAGGTCTGTAATGTGCGCTGAGCTGTAGGATTCATTTATTGCACATGTGTCCACTTGCACATTTTGACACATTCTGTGTTATGTGTTGCAATCATTACTGAGGATGGTTTGGCTTAATTTTGCATAATGTGCAGTATTTGTACTTGGCATTGTAACTATTGATTTCTCCAATCTCTGCATTCAATGTTGTGCAGATCTCAACAGATATCATGTCCCACTAATTTATGTACATGTTATATTGTCTTCCCATACAGTGAATTTGCCTGAACACACACAACAACCGATATACAAAATGAGAAAAAAATCATTGGCTCCTAGTTAAAAAAAAACAGCTGTCAATATCTACACTAAAAACAGGAATCATTTTATTGGAAAGATGCCTGCCTTGCTTGAGTGTGCTTTGGTTGTAGTCTAATGTTGATCAATAAAGCAAATATTTTCAGAACATGGTCAGGCTTTGAATGTAATTTTAGGCTATATAACTGAATGGAAGAACCAAGCGTGTTACGCTCTAGGCCAGTAGCTTCTCTTATACAAACACCAATAATTGCAAAGAATATCTATCGTAGCGGGTGGCTGCTTTATTTTTACATGTTTTCACAATTCTGTAATTATTTTCGATGTACAACGTCGATCGTTCCTCTGCCCGATATAATCGAATGTTGAAGAATGAAATTTCCACCTATGTGAAAAAAAACAACTCTAAACAGTTGTGATGTGTGATCTTTCATCTGACATGTGTTTATCATTCATTCCTGCTATGAAAAAAAATGTGTATTTTGGCAGTTTGTCTAAAATGTCCTGCGATCAATATTTTTTCATCACAATAATTAAAATTTGTTTGTAAATAATTGCATTAAATAGCAAAGCTAAGAAATCTTGAATTTTTTTTTTATAATTTTTTTGAATGATCAACAATCACACACAAGTTAAAATGTATCAGATTTCTGAGTTATAAACTCATAAACTTATGGTTTAAATCATGTCCCGTTGGAAAGATTGATGTTAATGTGTTCTTTATCTCGTACTCAATGTCATCTTAGCGGTTGTATATCGGTTGTATATCATATTTGTTAACAGGCTCAGTGTTTGTATTTGATCAACTTCAGCAAATTGAGCAAAAAACAGTACAGGATTTGAAAATTAAATCATATCTTTCTAAATTAAATTATTTTATGAAAGATGAACACATACATATCTGGAAAATCTGACACTTAAATTTTCTCCAGTACCAATTTTTGTGAGTTTCTTGAATTACCGTAACTACATTCATGAAAGTCACTGCTACTCCTTTGTAATGTTCACTTGTCGTCTAATTTTGCTTATTTTCCCGAAATTCACCCACTCATGCCAACTCAAAAGTATTATTTAGCTTTTTATAATTCGGGAAAAATCTCAGTGTAATATCTAAACAGATTGTAAACATTTATTATTAATTCAGTCAAGGTGAGGATCACAATTGGATCAAAAAATATAAAAAAAGTAGCTGAATTGGTTTACTCGCCTTTTAGTCTAATCTGTAGTTAATATTGAAAATTAAGATTAAAATTTCGGATGAAATTGATCTTCTTTCAGTTAAATTATAATATTCTTAATTTAAATTGGATTAATATTCAAGGTTATATGAATGTAGCAATCCTTGGTGAATATGAAAGGTGGAGAAAACTGTGGGAAAATGGAAGTTTTTCTGAAGCGCTGAAGAATTTGACATTCTAATCTTTGGCGGGAAAATCTGTGTCTGTAGACAGGAAAACAATTGGAGACTTATTTGGTCTTTATACTATGCATCGAACCAGAAGAACTTTAAGCCCATTTTACCTTCCTTTTTTCCAGAAGATTACATTCTGTGTTGTGAATACTAGGTGGCAGCTACACAACACATTCACTTCCCTATCACACGTGAAATTAGAATCTATAACGTGCTTATTTGCGAAGCTTTTTGATTTACCCAAATCTTTCTAAGGTCTGTGGTTGAAATATCCAGTGAATAGTTTTCGTGATCAGATATTTATTTATTTCATTCATTCATTTGTTTGTTTGTTTTACTCTTTGTTTAGTCATTCATTCAGTCTTGTAATCAGGGTTTCTAAATATTCCACCATTTTCAACGCCAAAGTCAACTTTTGTCACCTTTCACAAAATACCATCAAATTCGTAAAAATACTTCAATTTTGCCCACATTGTTTTAAAATTTTGGTCAAGACATGTTGCCAATAGGAAATTATGTCCATTTGGTTCAAAATTAAAGAAGAAATCATAAAAAAAAATGATAAAATCATAAAAAAATGATAAAATCATAAAAAAATGCATAAAATGTACAAAATGTTATACCAAGATTTTGGTGGAAAATATTATTTTATTTTCAGAGGGGCTCTCAAATTACAAAAAATCTGAATTTTTGTGGGGCATAGAAATAGTAAGTCAATCAAACCCATGGAAAACATAGTTTTGCAGTTCAAATGTAACATTTTTCTGTATAATTTTTCTATCTTTTTGTATGTTTTGTGATTTCTCATAATTTGTTAGTATATGCTCAGTTAGTACTCTATTTTAAGGTAAATTTTAACACCAAAGTGTGGCATGTATTGTAAGTTGGATACTTTTGATGTTTTAAAGAACAAAAGTCAAGGCAGTAATGTTTCAATCAAATACTCACATCCTAGTAAAATAATCTGATGTCGTTAACAGTCAGCAGTTACATAGATACATATGACTCCTGTATGTTGTAGTACAAGACATGTGGTTTTGTTTGTATACCTCTTATCCAGACTGCACCGTTCTGCTCTTGGTGTACACACACAAGAGCTCTCCAACCCCTTCTCTGTCACATAAATCATCAGATTTCAACACATACAAGTGTTTTTTACACGAAATTCATGATGCAGTTTGCTGTTGTCAGGTGCGATGTCGAGTGTAGACAACCTTTGTTCGGCAGTTTTATACAGCGATGGTCAAACAAGTTAGGTTGTAAAAGATAAACTGGGACATTTTGGCAGCTTACAAGGCTCCAAGATGAAGTGAAATATTGACTAAAGGGGATTAGAAGAGGTCCTGTAAAGATAAGAAACTGATCGAGGGGGCTCACTGGTCATTTGGAAATTCGGACACTTGTCAATCACAA